AGAGGTTCTTATCTGCAGTGGCTAGGGAGAAGCTGAGGGATCAGTTTAGCCGGCTTAATCAGCAGGGTATGTCTGTGGCAGAGTTTGAGGCCACTTTTACTAGCTTGTCCAGGTTTGCGCCTGAGTTGGTGGCGTCCGAAGAACGCCATTACTATGAGTTTGAGCGGAAGTTGAGGCGGGGCCTCAAGTTGAGAGTTGGTGGGTCTTACATCCGAGAGTATAATTAAAGGGTGTAGTTGGATTATTTATCACTCACCTAGTTGGAATGTTGATTATATATCCATTGTTGCATTTATTTTCTGTATAGAAATAACTGCTTTGGGCTATCGGTGGAGGATAGTCTTGATTGTTGTAGACAATGCATGATGATTAGGCAAACTGAAACTAATCACTGGAATGTGTCATTGAGTATGACGGTTGAAAGAATACATTAAATTTATGTATTGTGTGGTGATGTATATAATTATTGTTTATATGCTTTGTGTTGTGTTGGAGGAGATAGGGGATGTATTCCACGGTTTAGGGGAAGATAGGGGATGGACCTCTAAACCGGATGTTGTTGGGAGAAGATAGGGGATGGACTCCATAGATAGAGCTCATGTGCTTATCTAGTAATGTGTTGACACAGCTCATATGCTTGTCCTTGGAAGTGTGATAGTGCTCTTATGCATATCTATGGAAGCAATGATATAGCTTGTATGCTTATCTGTTGGTGTTGATATAGCTAGTACGCTTATCTAATATGAATTGGGAAGAAGTTTAATATGAGTTACTGTTTCATATAAGTTGTTTGGCCAGGTTTTGAGCCATGGTTATAAATTGAGAATTGAAAGGAATTGGAAAATGGATTGTAACATGGACTTGTATGTCATGAAACCGTAAAGTGTGATAAGGGAAAGTATTAGTGTTGACCATCTATCAACTGCTAATCTTTTAGTCATTGCTCATATTTGGTTTAGTGTGTTTCTACTGGGCTGTGGCTCACCCTATCTGAGAATATCATTTTCAGGTACAGGTAGCATGCCACCTCCAAGGACATAGCTTGGGAGGCTAGAGGCGGGCAGACTTTTGTTGTTTAGTTTCTTTGATGTATTACAGGTATATTCAAGCCAAGGGCTAAATGTGTAAATGAATTAGCACTCTTTTGTTGTAACCAAGTGTTAACTTGGAAAGCTGTAAGCCTTTAGGGCATTTGCTTTTGTCATTAACATGTAATACTTTTTGGTAATGAAACTCTGATGAATAGAATGACGTGGAGCATTTATATATACCAATGCATGTTCATATTGATGGGTTTAATTTTATTATTTTGAGGGCGTTACATGACACCTATGATGGATCCCACGAATTCAACAATACCCTCTTGTCTAATCACGAGCGGATGGGAAGCCCAGTCCTTTTTCTGCTATGTAATACTAGAATTGAGCCATTTACTACAATGATTTACTGTTCATACCATGTCTCTTACTTTCCCATTTCCCATCTTGTCACTTTGTGTCTTTATTTATTTATTTTTTTAAAGGGGTATTGTGGAAAATTCACCCCTTTATGCCTTCCTCGGTTTTCTTTCCGGCCATAGAGATCATCATTGCCTCTTTATTATTATTATTATTTTATGCTTTTATCTTTTCTGCTATTTCTCTGTTGCATCTTCTTCTTCTTTTTTTTCTTTTTTTTTTTGGTTTTTTGTTTTACTTACCCAAAAAATCTTTTTATTTTTTTTTTCATTTCTCCATTTTGATTATTTTATTTTATTTTGGCTCCTTTCTCTTGTTTAATTTTATTATTTATTAAAATATTTATCTTTAAAAAGACTATATACACAATTCTCTTCTAAAAACAATAATGAATTTGTTATGGTGTTCATATTTGTAGTGATAATTATAAATAATTTTGGTTATGTTACAAAAGTCTCTCTTATGAATGATTAAAAATAATGAATCATTGTGATTAAAATAAAATAATAAAAAAAAACACTTTTTTCCTTTATTTTTTCATTTCTCTATTTTGGTTTGTGTTTGTGTTTTATTGTATAGGTGAAGCACCAATAAATTTCTAAATGTGATTTTATGAACTGTTTAGTTATTCTTTTTTTTCTTATGAACCTAAAAGTCCCATTTAAGTAAAAATTACACAAAATAATAGTCACTTACACGTTTGAGTTTAATTGTTTAGGGATAAAAGTGTGTTTCTCCGAACACATTTAGGCAATACGCACTATAAAGGTTTTAGATTTTTTTTTTCTTCTGAAACAAATCTCACATTACGAATAAGAACGTAACACTCCAATGTAATATGGTAAAAGAACTCTTTAGTATACTTTTCCCAACCGTAACAACGTAACACTCTAAAAAACTCCATAATGTATTTTTTTTTCCTAAAAGTAACACTTCAATATAACACATTCCAATGTAATACACAAAAAAACTCTTTAGTGTATTTTTTTTTCTCCAAATGTAACACTTCAATCAATATAATTCCAAACGTAACACTCCATTCTAACACAAAAATACTAAAAAACTCCTTCATGTACTTTTTAAAGTGTGGATTCTTAGAAGAAAAAAAATTAAATTGAATTTATGAACAGAGTACCCATAAAATAAATATGTGCTCCAAATATATATATGAGTAGTGTTTTTTCGTTTCTTATGTAGCACATTCTAACTAGAGGTGTAACCCGAGCCTCGTGGGCTTCCGCTAAAATTTGAGACAGGCCGGCCCACAGGCCAAGAAATTAGGCCCAGGGGTATTTGGGCTTTGGACGGGTCGGTAGGCCGGGCGTCGGGCCAACCCGGTGGGCTTGGGCTAGGATTGAGTGGGCCTGACCATATTTTTTTTTGTTTTTTAAAAAATTTTCTATCAAAATTTTATTATTTTTCACTAAAAAAGACATTGGGCCTCGTGCGGGCCGGGCCTTGAGTGGGCCTTAAGCAGGCTATTGCGTCAGGTCAGGCTTCAAAATGATGGCCCAGGCCCAAACGAGCCGAGCCCACCTCGGGCTGTAGGCCATTTTTATACTCCTAATTTTAAGGCTTACTTTTTTTCAAAAAAAATCACATCAGTATGTATTTTTCATTTACATATAAAGTTTTACACAAATTCAATTTTAATTATAATACCTAATTTTCTATGGACTTTATTTAAGAAATATTTGTTTTTCATGGTGTATTTTTAATTTAATTATTATGATATGTGAAAAAAAATTTATCTTGACGTACAAAATAAATAATAAAAAAAGACAAAATATGGTTAATTATGTGCATTGCATAGCTCAAATAATTTTTTTTTTTATCTATCTTATTGATGTCTTAATACTAATATATATATATATATATATATTGGGAGATCTTTAAAAATGTGGATTATTTGATTTTTTTTTTCTTTTCATAAACTGAAATTTTGCATCTTTTTTTTTTGTTTTTTGTTTTTTTGTTTTCTATTTCTATTTTTCCTTTTTTTAATTTATTTATTACACATACCAATTTCTCACTCTAAAGAATCATAAAATATCTTTACCGTGACAACATGAAGAAGATCAATTCACTATTTGTTTGTTTATATGTAATTTAATATTTTCGCAGATTTGCGTCAAAAATTGTATCGAAACAATTTTAATAGATTATTGAATTGGACATCTAATTTTGAATCACATGACTCAATGTCAAAATATAAGTTTTTAATTTTTAATTTTCTTTTAAAAAAAATTAATGATATTAATACTCCTTGTCTTCATTTATAACACAATCAATCAATTGCATAAACAAAAAATTAAAGTTAGTCTCTTTATAGTTTTTTCTCATTTGAATGAAGTAAATTTTTATTTTAGTCTTTGCACAATAAATTAAATTTTACTAATTTATATCTTTTCTTTTTTCTTTTTTTTCTTTTTCCCTTATTTTTTTTTTTTTTTTTTTTTTTTTCCATTTGAAATGGCGTTTCTACTACCAACCAAAGCCAACCCACACAATGACATTTTCTATAGATTCATCATATATCATTTTTTTAATATATGTATATATTTTGTAAATATTGTACTACTTTTTAAAATATTTGTATATATTTTCAGTTTGATTGAAGTTATTATTAATCTTACTCTTTAATTCTAATTTTTTTTCATATATCTTTCTCACAATATTATTTTGATAACTTTTTTTGGCATGTGTCCCGCCTCTAACATATATTAAAATAGATGCAACATAAGAAGAAGAAGAAGAAAGCCATATGCCAATATATCACATTAACCCACATATGCCAATATATCACAGAAAGCCTTATGCCAATATATCACATTAACCCACATATGCCAATATATCACAGAAAGCCTTATGCCAACATATCACATTAACCCACATATGCCAATATATCACAGAAAGCCTTATGCCAATATATCACATTAACCCACATATGCCAATATATCACATTAACCCCCACATTGATCAGGCAATACACAAAAGAGTCCAAAACGAAATGCAAAGCAGACTTATCTGTGGAGGAAGATAAGGGTAACTGTTTATTTTATGCTCTCAAACCAGTTTGAGAAGAAAGGAGGTTACCTAAAATTATTTAAGGGCGACATGTGGGGTTTAGGCAGTTACCGCAGTTTCAGAGTTTGAGCAATTCGTTGTTGACGAAGTCCTCGGCTAGAGCAATATTGCTATAACTACTACTAGTAGTCTTGCTGCCGAGAAGAATCGCTATCATGGTATAGCGACTGAGTGTAGTAAAGTCGTTTATTGTGAGGATCTTGTAATTGTCATCTTTAAGCTGAACGGGGTTAATGAAGTGTTCTTCATCTGGCGAAAGCAGAACCTGTTTGGACATAGACCCCCATTCGTTCTCCATGGTCACTATCAAACCTTTTGGTGTAAAAGTGTTTTTCTGGGTTATGCTTTTGCGGACTTGTTCCTCAATGTATCTGAACCTTGCCGCTTCCGAGACCATCTGAATGACCACAAGGAGCGGTTCGGCTACGCTCCCACCGTGCCACAAACTTGTGATGGCGTTAGCTAGGGGAGTTGGTCCCAGAGGGAGCTGGTCCCTCGGCTTTGACTGCTTCTCAAGGATGCTATAGTTGCTGGTGTAGCTTAGCTTGGTTTGAGTGGTGCCGACGAATAAATTTTTGAGTTGAAGTGTGGTAGCGTCTTTGAAAAAAAAGGATTTGTTATTTGCACCACTAAAAGCGACCAAATAAAGGTTCACCACATCTATTGCCAAGGTGACTGTGTCGCCATTGATAAGACCGACCAGAACGAACCGGTTCCCAACCAGCACTTCACTTTCGAGTTTCAGCACTGGTAGACCATTTACTGTACGGGTTCCCCGTGACACGATTTCCCGCAGTTCCCCTATGAAGTCTCTGTATGTGGTCCAGGTGGCACCTGCCACATTGTAGGAGATGGAGGAATAGGCCTGGACGTCGCCTTGGATTCCAATGCTGCAAATTGCGAGAACAACAATGTATAATATTGCTGCTACCCCTTTCATCTTGCTATACTTGCTACTTGCTATGAGGATATATATTCATATATATATATATATATGTAATACACTATATATGTTACAATTATGTAATTTGATGCTCAACTCGAGTAACAGGAGACAAACTCTTCATGCAGATTGCCATGTGGAGGAGAAGTTATTAGTTAGTCTTAGCATATCATGATTGATAAAAGAGATTTAATTCACAAATTTATATTAACTAATTAAAAAGTAAGAAAACAAATGATGAATTATAATTGATAAAGGGTGTAATCAAGTGCTGCTTCGAAACCGAAAGGCAGGCGCCCGCATTGATCACGTGGCCACTTCTTTTTTTCTTTTGGTTTATATTAGTACAACATCGTGCCAGCATGATTTACCATACCCATGATACAAGAAATCTATATTAAGATGATAACAATACAAAATTATTTCAAAATGTAGTTATTAAATTCATGTGTTAATAAAAGTAAAAGTATAGGGATCACATTTAATGATAGAGTGAAAAGATTTTAAACCTTGTAGATAAATTCATAGATAATGAATGTATTGCACAAAAAAAATAAAAATAAAAGTAAAAAAAACTCAATGAAAGTTGAATCTCTATATATATATATACTTTTCCCCTATGCTGAATCAAGGTTTAAGAACTTCAGATAATTAATTTCACTGGCTAATTTTATAGATCTCATTTGGGAAGTAAAGATTTTAACCAAAAACCAAACGAGTTCAAATTTGCTAAAGTTGAAAATCTCAACTTTAAAATAAAATTGACCCATTATGAAACTAATTTGGACTTATTTCGATAATTTAAACCATTCATCTTGTTCAATTAACTAGAAAAATTATTAATGCAAAAATTTGAAAAGATCCAATATCGATTGTCATTCCATCAGATTATTTTTATCTATACAGTAATACATGTTTTTAAAAATAGATCATCCATTTCATAACAACAAAAACACATTTTAGTGACACCATAGTAGTGGCATGTTCTTAAAAAATGTCACAAAAAGAATATTTGGTGGCATTGTTTAGAAAAATGTCATTGAACCACAAACATACAAGGCTCTAGTGGCAATTCAATTAAAAAAAGTGTTACTTTACTACAACAAAAATGTTACTACAACAAATGTACACTTTAGTGACACTACACTAGTGGCCTGTTTTTAGAAAATGCCACAACAATAAAAATTGACATTAAATGTTTTAGAAAAATGCCACAAAATTACAAACATATAAGGCTGTAGTGGCATTTCAATAAAGAAATGTCACATCAATTTTATGGCATTTTATAAAATAATGACACAAAAAATTATGTTCGTGACATTTACCAACAGATGCCACTAAATTTTAGTCGCAATGACATTTTTTTAAAAATGTCAGGATACTGGGTAAGTGCAAATTACTTTTTAGGGCACTTAGGTGAAAGGTGTCATAAACAAATATTTTATAACATTTTGAGAAACACCACTAAGCCAAAAACTTTCAAAGCTTATAATGATATTTTTGAAAAAATAAAAAATGCTAACATATTTTCTAAATTTTTAAAATACAGTAAATGATTAAAAATAAATAAATTAAACTCAATATACACTACAGGAAAAAGTACATTCGGCGACTAAATTTCCTGACCAAAAAAAATTTGGTCGCTAAAAGTATAGCTTTCAGCGACCAAAACAACATTAGTTGCCAAAAGTAAAGCTTTTTGGTGACTAAACAATTAGCCAAAAGCCTACACTTGGCGACTAAAACTAAGTTTGGTCACTGATTATATGGGTTAGTGACTAAAAAAATTTTAGTAGGCCAAAGTAAAGCTTTTTGGCGACTAAAAAAATTTAGTAGCCAAAAGTCTACAATTTGCGACTAAAAATAAGTTTAGTTGCTGATTATATGGGTTTTACCGACTAAAAAAATTTTAGTAGCCAAAAGTAAAGTTTTTTGGTGCCAAAAAAAATTTTAGTAGCCAAAAGTCTACAATTGGTGACTAAAAAATAAGTTTAGTTGCCAAAAGTGGTCATTTTTAGCGCGGGAGAACTAAAATCTTAAGGTGGGAATTAAATTTCTTGGCGACCAAAATTTTGGTAGCTGAAAGTGCATCTTCGGCGACTAAATCCGATTTTGGTCGGCAAAAGTGATTAAGGCCGAAATGTACATCATTGAGGCCGTTAATTAGAATCTCTTAATTTCACTTGTTGGTCAAACTGTATACTTTATGTGTGTTGAGTGTCAATCAGGTTGTACATCGTCGGAGCATAAAATGGGCAGAAAAACAGAATTTGGACAGAGTTGACTTTTTCGCACGTGCGTTGACTTTTTCCGCACGTGCGTTGACTTTTTCTGGAAAAGTCAAACCGACGTTTTAACCTGTTTGGACGAGATTTGAAGTATAAAAAGGCAAGTAAAAGGCTGGATTAGGGTTCGGAAGTTGTTTTGACCTAAAGGGAGAGGCTAGGGTTTGGAAAAGAAGAGAAACAAAAGCTCCAAGATGTCTCCCATGGTAGTTCCTTCTCCTTCTACCTCCTTTCACTCCTCCATGAGTGGCTAGTTTTCTTTTCTAGGGTTTTGATGAAACCCTAGCCATGTAATTATGTAGTTTTCTTTTTGATTTTTAATTATGTAAAGGTTTGAACATTTGTATGGTGATTTAGAAGTTTGTTTTATATAATTTTCATTATTCTTTCGAATATTTGACTTTCTATGATTATTAAATGTTATCCATACAAATGTTTTCTTTTCCTTCACATTCAAGGTATGGGACGAATCATACTACGAGGAACGAGTCGTATCACTACCTTAGTTTATAGTGAACGGCTCGTATTACTTGAGATGGTTCGTGCTCGTACATTGAATGTGATGATCTTCTTGTTAAATGCTTTGAGCTTGTAGTTGCGAAGCATTAATCCGTTCAAACCATAATTGATTGCAGTAAATCCAATTTCATTTATTATTGATAATTCAATTCCTTAGTTTAATTTATTTGTTATTAAATTAGGTTATGATCATTCAATCTTTTTATCAAAATTAATTTAGAAATTTAACAATTAAATTAGTTTAATTTCACAATAGTCCCTGTGGATCGATACCTGCACTTTCCATTATTCTGATTGAATTTGGTATAGTTTAGTATTTAATTTTGGTGTGTTCAACGACCCATCAAATTTTGGCGCCGTTGCCGGGGACTTCTTGCGAAATTAGTCAATTTAAAGTTACATTCTTATTTTAATTTTTAGTTTAGGATTTTATGAAGGGGTGGTGACCACTATTAGATCGCCAGCTGGAGAAACAAATGAATTTCCTATCACTGTAGGGTTACACCAAGGATCTACCTTAAGTCCTTATCTTTTTGCTTTAGTTATGGACGAGTTGACGATAAATATTCAGGATGACGTGCCATGGTGTATGCTTTTTGCAGACGATATTGTGTTAGTGGATGAGACTAGAGAAGGAGTTAACACAAAGTTGGAGATTTGGAGAAAAGCTCTTGAATCTAAAGGATTTCGGATAAGCAGAACTAAGACAGAGTACATATGAGTGTAAATTTAGTAACAGTAACAATGAAAGCAGAGGAGAAGTGAAGATTGAGAACCAAGAACTGCCTAAGAGTGAACATTTTCGTTATTTAGGGTCGATTATCACAACAACAGGAGAGATTGATGCAGATGTGGCCCATAGGATTAAGGCGAGATGGTATAAGTGGAGAAGTGCGTATGGGGTATTGTGCGATAAACGAATACCCACTAGACTAAAAGGTAAGTTTTATAGAACGGCTATTAGACCAGCTATGTTGTATGGGACGGAATGTTGGGCAACCAAGAAACAACATGTAGATAAGATGAGTGTGGCTGAGATGAGGATGCTAAGGTGGATGTGTGGTAAGACTAGACAGGACAGGATTAGGAATGAGTGTATTCGGGAATGGGTAGGAGTAGCACCGATAGAAGATAAGTTGAGAGAGAATCATTTGAGATGGTTTGGTCATATTCAACGGAGGCCAACAGAGGCAGTAGTCAAGAGATGTGATGCTGTAACGGTAGATGGAAGTGTTAGGGGACGGGGTGGGCCTAGATTAACGTTGACTAGCGTTATAAATAGAGATATGAATCTACTTAATTTGACTAATGAAATGGCCTTTGATAGGGCCGCGTGGAGAAGGAGGATTCATGTAGCCGACCCCATTTGATGGGACTTAAGGCTTGGTTTGGTTTGGTGTGGTTTGGTTTAGGATTTTATGCTTTTGGTGTTGCTAAGTGTGCAAAGTGTTTGAAATTGGAGCTATCACTGAAGTGCAAGTGGAGCGTAGCCGAGCTTCAAAAATAAAAATAAAAAACCGCAACACTAAAGTGAGTAAACAGAAGCAAACACTCACAAGCAAAGCACCAAAGTGCTAAAATGGAAGTCAAAGCTCAAACAGAGGTTGGAGACAACGTCTACACGTCAAGCATCCGCAAGATGAGTAAAGCCTTTTCGTTAAACCGCTGTGAGTATTTCTTCCTTTGGTATTTTGCTTTCATACTTAGTGCACAGAGTCGGAACTTGTTGTGTGTGTTTGGGTAGTGTATGCACGGGCATTGTTCTTGTTGCTCTGAATTGTGGAGTTTGGACCTTGAACTAGAAAAGACTCTTAGGAGACTTAGGGCTTCTGCCCGTGTTCCTAGGCTTGAGTATTCATATTCATATTCATACATTGAGCCATTAGAGATGGCAGATCCTAATGTCCCGAATGTGCCCAACCGGACACTTAAGGATTATTTTACACCCACTGCATATACATCACCATCATGCATCCAATTACCCAACACCACTGCTGCTCATTATGAGATTAAGTCCAGTACCATACAAATGCTCCCATCATTCCATGGACTAACTCATGATGACCCTTATAAGCATTTGAATGAATTTCTGGAAATTTGCTCGACAGTAAGGATCCAGAATTTCACAAATGAAGCCTTAATGTTGCGATTGTTTCCATTCTCGTTAAAGGATAAAGCCAAACGTGGCTAAATTCTTTGCCTGCTAACTCAATCACAAC